CTGACTGGCTGAAAAGAAGTATCTGTATGTGGTGGGCATGAAGATGTGCAGTTCAAATAAGTCTTCATTAAGGCCATAAAGGAGGAGAGATCATTTTCTGACAGTCTCCAGTCGTCAAGAGCAGTGTGACTGTTTTTGAGCTTATGTCACTATTAGCTGGATGGCCTCATCAGTGTCTACAAAGTATCATTAGATGCCGGATACTGGAGTCCCTGATGGGCAATCTTGGGATGGCAGGAACTTTATCAGGTTTTCATTACAGTCTGATAGCTGTGCTTGTCAAAACCTGCTTCGCGTGTAAAATGGTGCAGCCACTATGGAAGGATGTTTGGCCCTTTCTCAAAAAGTTGGAAACAGAAATATCATCTGACACAGCAATTCCACTACAGTCTACAAGTTCAATGCAATGCCAACACAAATACCAATACCATTCTTCAACAAGAAGGGAAAGGCAATTTCCAATTTCATCTAGAATGGAAAGAGACCTGGATTATGCAAAGCACTCCTGAAAAAAAGAAACAAGGTAGGAGGCATCTCACTCCCTGATCTCAAATCCTACTACACAGCTGTGGTGGTCAAGATAGCTTGGTACTGGTAAAGTGACAGACACATAGATCAATGGAATAGAACTGAGAACCCAGAAATCAGCTCCTCTACTGTGGCCAACTGATTTTTGACAAGGACATGAGATTATTTTAATGGGAAAATGAAAGCCTCTTTAACAAATGGTGTTGGCAAAATTAGAAAACTATCTGCAGAAAACTCAGGCAAGACTCACACCTCACATCATACACAAAAACCAACTCAAAGTGGATCAAGGACCTAGGAGTAAAACCAAGGATAATAAACTTTATCAGAAAAAAGCTTGGAAGAACTCTAGAAGCCCTAATCCACAACATGAACACTCTCACAAGCATCCTGAAAAATCTTCAACCAAGAGAGAATAAAATAGATGAATGGGATCATCTAAGAATCAAATCCATCTACACATCCAAAAACTTCTACATCAGGGTAAAAAGGACAGTCATAGACTGGGAAAAAAATACTTGGTAATGACATGTCTGCTAAGGGATTTATATCTAGAATTTATAGAGTACTCCAGCACTTCAAAAAGGTAAACAACCCAATCGCAAAATGGGCACAGGATATGAACAGACACTTCACCAAATAAGACATTCAGATGGCAAACACACACATGAAGAAATGTTCAAAATCCCTAGCTCTGAGAGAGATGCAAATCAAAACAACTATGAGATATCATCTCACCCCAGTAACAGTAGCAAAATTCAACAGAGCAGCGAACAACAAATGCTGGTAAGGTTTTGGAGAAATTAGAACACTTATTCACTGTTGTTGGAATGGTGCAAACACTATGGAAGGCAGTATGGCGCCTTCTCAAAAAGTTGGATATAGAAATACCATTTGACCCAGCAATTGTACTACTGGGAATATACCGTAAAGAAACTAGAACTGCCACCCAAACAGATAGATGTACACCCATGTTTATTAATGTATTGTTCACAATAGCAAAGAGATGGAAGCAACCCAAGTGCCCATTAACAAATGAATGGATAGAGAAGCTGTGGCATATTTACATAATGGAATACTACACAGCACTGAAAAACAAAGAATTTCTAAAATATCACACAACATGGATGACCCTGGAGGACGTTATGGTGAGTGAAATATCTCAGTCACAAAAGGACAAATATTCCATAGCACCACTATTATAAAACACAACTGACATGGGAGTTGAGGGGAACCTAGGAAAAGAGGGGCTAAATAATGAACACGGCACTGGGACAGTTGAAGGAAAGAACGATTTAAAAGGAATATATGATTATGCACTATTTGTATGACCACAGTGCAAAATAAGAGGAGCATAGCAAAGTGGGTCTGGGAGAGGAGTGGGTGGGGAGGGAGAAAATTATGGAGCAATGAATCAATATTATTTTTTTTTAAAAAAAGCGAATGTGGGTGAGTAGGGAGGCAAATGTGCAAAAAAGAATGAATAAAAAAATCCAACTTTTCTGTAAACTTTCATTAAAAATCAAAATTTTAAAAAACCCCAAAAGCAACATACTTTTTTGCACTCCCATCTGTGCCTTGGCTTCTGCTTCCTGACGAACGCAGCCAGCCCATGACACTGTATTTCATGATGTTCAATGACACTACTAAAACCACAGGGAGCTCTGGTGGCCTAGTGGGTAAGAAGTTGAGCTGCCAACCCAAGGACTGTTATGTTATGTACCACTGATTGAGAAGTGACTCACAGCTGGCTTTCCTGTATCAAGGGTTTTCAGAGGCAGTAAACGGCATGGGAGGAGACTGCCCATGTTACTCTAATGAACCCAAAGGCAGACTGAAATGCACCTGCTGCTCTGAGGAGGGAGAAGGATGGGCAATCTCTCCCAGGTGATTGACAGCCTCTGGAAACCTCCTGGAGGGTCAGTTATGAGGCAGTTCTGACTTGATGGCACATAACAATTATTTGATGACATGCCATTGATTGATAAAAAACTCTTACTTCAGAGAAGTTGAAATATGAAAAAAAAATGTGCATCCTCAAATAGATATAATGTGGAAATGAATTACATTTTATTTGAACTATCTTCTCTAAACAGAACTGTATAAACACAGCTCGGGTGGCCTCAGTTATCCTACAGAAGCAGCCAGCTTCTATTGGCCTGACTTTGGGTTGAAAATCTCAGTGGATTAAGATTAGGTTCCATTTGGCATTTATTGCCAAGCAAGGGAACTATAAATCAGATCAGTCCAACTTCAGCTCTAGAATTATGGTCACAAGAGTCTCACAGCTTGAGGCTCAAGGAAACAATCAGAAGGGGCCTAAGAAAACATGCCAGCTGACATCTAGTGCTCCTGAAGCATGAGTGGGAGTTTCCACAGTCCCGACAAGAACGCATCTGAGCCCTGGGAGGGAAGGTACTCACCTTCTGTATTTCCCTTTGTCGGAAAGGGGCGGTACTGAACAACACGTGCCTAAAATACAAAAAAAAGGAGTCAATTATGTTTGATTTCTCATCATGACCTGCTCCTCCTACATTCTAAGTGATTTTTTAAAAAATAATACCTGAAACCAAATTACTGCAGAGCATTTAAGCAGTAGAGTGTAAAATACTAAATATTTAAAACTGTTCTCCCCCAGAGCAGCTGGTGGCCTCAAACTGTATTGCTTTGGGATTACAGGACAGCTTCTTGCCACTAGGCCACCAGAGCTGTGTATATATATATAGTATAACAATTTAGTAACAAACCAACACAAATTCTGATAAAAGCTCTAGGTTGGGGTAAAGGTGCCTTTTCATCTGTGTGTCTAAAACCTTGGAAATATATTCTAGCACACACTGACCCTATCCCACTTCTGTAAGAACCCAAACATTCCTATTTAATATGAGATGAAAAACAGCGATTAACAAAGCCCAAAGCTCAAAGCCCAACAACAATCCCAAGAGTTGCCACGGTTGGCCTCTTATCTCCACAAACACTTGCAGTTTCTCCAGACAGAGAACAGGACCCCAACTGATCCACCATAGGATCTGCTCTCAACTGCATTTCACAGCTGAAGATTTAAAGTGCACCTTGAGGTTTAACAGAAATGCCTTTTCTCCATCCCTTTGTTTTTATTGTCTCCTTTTACTGTGCTGCTTCATTAAACTGACATGAGTAGGGAGCTCTGGTGGTCCAATGGGATCCCCAAAGGTGATCTCCACGGAGATCTCCTTGGAGAAGGAGGGGCAATCTCCTCCTGCACCAGTCAGATCGAACTGACAATTTTTTAAAAAATGTTTTAGGAACAATTTAAAAAAAATGTTAATGAGTAACATTAACAAATAATCCATCCTTGTGTTGACATTTATACGATTTTCCCCATGGCACAAATAAAAAGCATAAAGAAAATATCAGAAGGTGCTAAATGAGAATGCTAAGTGTAACTAAAACCTCAAGATTTCTTGACGTAGGTCTGAGTTGCTGATTCAGATTTGTGATTTTTATACCTGTAAGCCTTTTACAGGAGCAGAGTTCATCCTTCAAGTTCTTGGGGTCTTTCAACGTCTATGGGCTACTTTTGCGCTTCTGAGTGTTGTTTGTTGTTGTTATGTGCCGTCGAGTCGCCTATGAGTGTAGTGTAGACAAAAGTTCTCAGGTTTGGTTCCTCACTTCTAGGAAAGAATAAAAAGGATGCAATAAGTAGAACGTGGGGAAATTTTGGAGGAATACAATGACAGATGACTGAATATGATTTCCGATCCACTTCATTGGTGAAACTATTTCCACACTGTTTTGTTATCTCTACTCTTTACCCTCTATCTTATAGATATGTTCCAGTCAAAATAACTGTGGCACCCCAGAAAAGGGAATGAACTGATGAGATGGAGCAAGTAAAACTTATGGAGAAGTTCAGACCACAGCCAGGTCTTAAGGGATGGGGCAAACTTTTACAAATTTGGTTGCAGTTGTTGTGTGCCATCATGTCTGAACCGACTCATAGCTGACCCTCCAGCAGGTTTTCAGAGGCTATAAACTGCATGGGAGAAGACCCACCTCTCACCCTTGGAGTGGTTGGTAGATTTGAACAGCGTACCTTTGTGTTGGCAGGGCTGCTCCTTACCATGAAGCCATCAGAGCGCAGAGTGGTAATGGTGATTGTTGTTGTTATGTGCCATCGAGTCACTTGCGACTCATAGGAACCTCATGTACAACAGCCCTATACTCTGCTCTGTCCTGTGCCAATCGCACTGTTTCTGACACACCCATCCGGATTACCCCAGTCACTGAATCAATCCACCTCATAGAGGGTCTATCCCTCCTGCGCTGTCCCTCCACCCTACCAAGCATGATGTTCTTCTCCAAGGACTGGTCTCTCCTTACAACATGTCTAAAGTATGTTAGACGGAGCCTCAGAATCCTTGCCTCCAAGGAGCCACCCAGTTTAACCCTTTCCAAGATGAATCTGTTTTCCTAGCAGTCCATGATCCCCTCAATACTCTTCTCCAGCACCACAGCTCAAAGGCATCAATTCTCCTTCTATCCTCCTCAGTCATTGTCCAACTCTCTGATGCATAACAAGTGATAGCAAAGACCATGGCCTGTATCAGACGCAACTTAGTCTCCAGAGAGACACCATTGCTCTTCAGTACTTTGGAGAGGTCCCTAACAGCAGATTTTCCCATGGCAATGCACCTTTTAATTTCCTGGCTACTGGTGCCCAGAGTGTTGACTGTGGAGCCAAGCAAACTAAAGCTGTGAACAATCTCAATCTCTTCACCATCCATCCCGATGCTGCCAATTGGTCCAGTGGTGAGAATCTTTGTCTTCTTGACATTGAGCCTCAATCCATATTGGAGGCTGCAGTCGACCCTCTGAAGCAAGCGCTTCAGGTCCTCCTCAGTTTCAGTGAGCAGGATTGTGTCATCTGCATAACGCAAATTGTTGATAGATCTTCCACCAATCTTGACCCCACATTTCTCCTCATAGAGCCCAGCCTTTCAGATAATCTGTTCTGCATATAGGTTGAAAAGGTATGGAGATAGGACACATCCCTGGCGTATGCCCTTCCCAATTTTGAACCATGCAGTGTTTCCCTGCTCTGTTCTGATGACTGCCTCTTGGTCCAAGTATAGGTTTCTCATTAGCACGATCAAGTGTTCTGGTTCCCATTCTTCTCAGAGACAGCCAGCCACAGTTTATGATCCACACAGTCAAACGTCTTTGCATAATCAATGAAACACAGATAGACATTCTTCTGTTATTCCCTGCTTTCAGCTAGGATCCATCTAACATCAGCTACAATATCCCTAGTACCACGACCCCTTCTAAACCCAGCCTGGACTTCTGGCAGTTCTCTGCTGATGTGCTGTTCCAGTCATTTTTGGGTAATCTTCAGTAAAATCTTGCTTGCATGTGAAATCAGTGAGATTGTTCTATAGTTTCCACACTCTGTTGGGTCACCTTTCTTTGGGATGGGAACAAATATCGATCTTTTCCAGTCAGTTGGCCAAGTGGTTGTTCTCCAGATTTCTCGGCACAACTTGGTGAGCACGTCCAGGGCAGCATCTGTTAGCTGAAATATGTCAATTGGTATAGCATCTATTCCTGGGCCTTATTTTTTGCCATTTCCTTCAAATGGTGATTACAGCATGCTAAAACTCAGGAGGATTCCAGGCTCATGAGCTAATGAACTCCACCAGAGGGTTTCGGAAGAAAGAGGAAAGCTGGGTCTTTGCTTGTGAAAGTATGTATTACTGTTAGGTAGCTTTGGACATAATGCCAAGGACTCAGGAAGGGACCAGAGAAAGAAAGGAAGCTAAAGAAGCTTTATGAAGAGGTCTCACCAGCAGAACTCCTTGGTCTGCAGAGAGAGAAACAGGCAGAGGGACAGACCAGGGAAATACTGCACCCTAAAGTGAATTAGGGCAGGTTTTATAGGGAGGGTCTTTAGGGAGGGAAGAAAGGGACATTCCATTGTGGTTTAGCCATGTGGGTGGTCTTCTAGAGAGGGAAGGGAGGGGCACTCAATGGTAGTTGAGGCTGTTCACTCCCTTGGTTGACATGCTGATATTCCTTGAATCCTTTGTTCTCCCTTTGACCTTGGTCCAGGCCTGACACTAACTTGGCGATAAATGCTGTGGGTAGGCCCTGTCAAATTGATTCTGACTCACAGCAACCCCATACACAACAGAACCAAAAACTGCCCAGTCTTTCGCCATTCTCAAAACTGTTGCTATGTTTGAGATGACTTGAAATCACCATGAAAATCCAGCTTGGGGAGGGTCTTCCCATTTTTCTCTGACCATCTTCTAAATCTGCTGTCCTTTTATATTCATCAATATGTACTTAAAGCCCTCTTTACTTTCAGCAAGCAAAGCCATGTCATCCGAATGTTGGGTGTTAATGAGTCTTCTTGCAACCTGATGCTGTGTCTTTCCTTGTATAGCCCAGTTTCTCAGATTATTGTTCAGCATGTTGTTGTTATGTGCTGTCAAGTCACTTGTGACTCAGTGACCCTATGTACGAGAGCCCTAAACCCTGCTCTATCCTGTGCCAACCTTATTGTTTCTGACACATCTACCCCAGTTACTGAATCGATCCATCTCATCAAGGGTCTTTCTCTCTTGCACTGTCCCTCCACCCTTCCAAACATCATGTCCCTCTCCAAGGATCAGCCCCTCCTTTTAACATGACCAAAGTATGTCAGATGAAGCTTCAGAATCCTTGCTTCCAAGGAGCAACCCAGTTTCACCCTCTCCAGGACAAACTTGTTTGGCATACAGAATGATAAATATGGTGACATATGACATACATGGTGACACACTTCCTTAAGACATGCAGCACCCCTTTACTGCTTGAATGACTTTACCTCCATAGAGGTTCTGCAAGAATATAATTTAGTGTTCTGGAATTCTCATTCTTCTCAATAGCAGCCAGAGAGCCACAAAGCTGAATGCTTCTTTCTGCACAGTCAATGAAACAGCAAAGGTATTCTGTTTTCAGCTGAGATTCATCTGACATCAGCAAAGGTAACCCTTCTTCCTTACCCTCCTCTGAACCAGCCCGAGTTTCTGACAGTTTTCTAACTATATGCTGTTGCAACCAATTTTTAATTACCTCCAGCAAAGCTTTGTGTGTGGTATTAAAGATATTTGAAAATGTCCTCATTCTGTTGTGCCATCTTTCTTTGGAATGGACACCAATGGGGACTTTTCCCAGTTGGTTGGCCTGGTAGCTATCATTTGTATTTGCTGGGACTTTCAGCAGTGCACTTGGTTGTTGAATCAGTATTAAATCAATTCCCGGAGCTTTGTTTTTTGTCAATGTCTTCAGCGCAGTTTAGAATTCTTTCTTCAGTACCATTGGTTCTTGCTTGTATGCTACCTCCTAGAGTGGCTGAAAGTCAACCAATTTTGGTTGGTACAATGACTTTTTGTATTCTTTCCCATCCCTATGGAACTTCCTACATCGTTCAGTATTTTGTCCATAGTGAGTCTTTCACTATTGCAACTCAAACCTTTTATTTTTCTCCTTTAGTTCTTTCAGCTTGCGAAATCCCTAGCGTACCCTTCCCTTCAGGTTTTCTAACTCTGGGCGTTCATACATTTAATTATAATACTTTGTTACTTCTAGGAGAACAAGCAGATTTGTCCTGGCAAGGGTGAAACCAGGCTGCTCCTTGGAGGCAAGGATTCTGAAGCTTCGTCTGACATACTTTGGGCATGATGCAAGGAGGGACCAGTCCTTGGAGAGGGACATCATGCTTGGAAGGGTGGAGGGATAGCCTAAGAGAGGAAGACGCTCGATAAGATGGATTGATTCAGTGATTGGGGTAATGGGTATGTGTCAGAGACAAAAAGATTGGCTCGGGATACAACAGGGTTCAGAGCTGTTGAACATAGGGTCACAGGCGACTTGACGGCACATAACAACAACAAACAATATATCAGATGCTGAGCATTGGTGGTCTAGTGGCAAGAAGCTAAGCTTCCAAAGATACAGGATTCGAGGCTACCAGCTGCTCCATGGGAAAAGGATGAACTATCTCCTTCCATGTGAATAATTGCCTCTGAAAACCCACGAGAGGGTCAGCTATAGGTTGATTCTGACTAGGTGGTACACAACAACAACATGTCAGATGCTGGAGCAGAGTACTGAAAAGACCATGGACGCCAAGAGAACAAATAGGTCTGTCCTAGAGAGAGTGAAATCAGGTTGTCCCCTGGAGGCAAAGATTTTTTAACTCCATCTCACATCCTTTGGGCATACTGTTAGAAAGGACCAGTCCTTAGAGAGGGCCATCACACTTGGAAGGGCAGAGAGTCAGTGCAAGAGAGGAAGACCATGGATGAAACGGATTGACAAAGTGACTGTGGCAATGGAGTAAGCATATCATAGATGGTGTAAGTTGGCTCAGGATAGAGCAGAGTTCAGACCCATTGTTCATAGGGTCTCCATAAGTCCTTGTTGACTTGTTGGCACATAACAACAATGTCAGATGCATATTGGTAACGATTTGTTGTTGTTGTTTTATGTGCCATCGAGTCGCTTGCGACTCATAGCAACCCTATGTACAACAGCCCTAAACTCTGCTCTGTCCTGTGCCAATCGCACTGCCTCTGACACCCATCCCAATTACCCCAGTCACTGAATCAATCCACCTCATAGAGGGCCTTCCCCTCCTGCGCTGTCCCTCCACCCTACCAAGCATGATGTCCCTCTCTAAGGACCTGTCCCTCCTTGCAACATGTCCAAAGTATGTTAGACAGAGCCTTAGAATCCTTGCCTCCAAGGAGCAGCCTGGTTTGACCCTTTCCAGGACGAATCTGTTTGTTTTCCTAGCAGTCCATGGTCCCCTCAATACTCTTCTCCAGCACCACAGCTCAAAGGCATCGATTCTCCTTCTATCCTCCTTGGTCATTGTCCAACTCTCTGATGCCTAACGAGTGAACGATTTAGTATGACCAAAAAGGTCACACTTTTATTTATAAGGGTTTTTTTTTTAATCCATAAGTTCGTAACACTGGGGTGAATACATGTTTTCCACATTGAGAAAAAGAACACATAGTATCTTTATACTTTTAAAAATGTATTTTAAAATAACGAAACACTTTACATTGTACATGTGGTTGGTATTTGTGTCTCCCATTATATTTGTTTGCTGACCTTATCTGGATCCTTTCTCCCTGGACCACCTCATCTCCTCCTGGCCTAGTCCTGGCTTTACACCACAGTGATGGCTGTGGTCTCAGATGCCACAGTCAGTTCAACTCTCCTTGCTTCACTAAGCCTCTTACTGAGATTCAACTTGAAGTTTCCTCTTCAAAAGATTTTAATTGTTTACTCAGAGGTCAGCTGCCTTTTACAGGCCCTGCGGCCAGGGTCTCCTCTCTCATCTTTAACCCAACCCACAGGGCAGCAAGCAGTCCTGCGTCCTCAGCTCCGTGAAAAAAAAAGCTGGCAAGTCAGTCCCCAACAGCTAGTTAAAGGATAAAGTGGGAAGGAGGTAACAGATAACATGTCATAAAAGCATGCACACATTTAAACAGAAAAAAAAATTATTTTGTTTTCTAAACTTCAATTCACACTGTGAATTACATTCAAACGAATCACGCACTCTGGGGAAACTTACGTTGCTTTGACTTGGCATGTGACCGGTTTACAGCTGGACACTGTGGAGGCGTCGCCCGGGGACTCTGTTCTCCCCGCAGCCCTCTGAGCCTGCAGGACAGGAGCCTCGAGGGTCACAGACACTGCCTCCTTCCAGCTCCCCACTGACCCTGGAACCGACTCACGCCAAGTTTAAGGCTACTTTCACAGTAACAGAAACAGGAGGCAGAAACAGCTTCGGGTCCAACAGGGTGGGGTCTCCCGGGAAAACGAAACTGAAACTTTGAGGGCCAAGTAGGCTAGGCGCCCTTTGCCCGAGTCCCGCCCCGCCGCACCCGCGCAGCGCTGCACAGCCATGGCCTCTGCGCCCTGCCCTCCGTCCCCGCTCCTCGTGCGGGTGTCCCAGTCATTTCCCCGGTTCAGCCGCAAGCTGGAGAGCTACTTCCAGAGCCGGGGCTCGGGCGGCGGCGAGTGCACCGTCAAGGCCCTAGGCGACAGCGCCCCAGACGTCTTCCGGGTGCAATTCAACAACAGGACAGGTAAGTGGGGGTGCAAGGGTGCTTCCCAAGCTGGGAATGCAAAGGCCCAGGTGGGATGGAGGCGAAGAAGGGGCCAGGCTCGTGGGTTACTACGTGCCCTCAGCTCACGTTGACCCAGGAGAGAAGGGGAAGGAACGGGGACCGAGAGCCTAAACAGACCAGGCTCACAGCAATTCAATGGACATCATGCTTGGGAGGGTGGAGGGACAGCGCAGGAGGGGAAGCCCTCAATGAGGTGGATTGATTCAGTGACTGGGGTAATCGGGATGGGAGTGTCAGAGACAGTGGGACTGGCACAGGATAGAGCAGATAGAGCTATTGTACATAGGGTCGCTATGAGACGCAAGCTACTCGATGGCACATAACAACAAGAGGATAGAACCGCCCCATAGACTTTCCAAGGCAGCCAAGCCTAGGAAAGCACAGAACTTCATCTGTCCTCCCTTGGCTTTTTGGCCAGCCAAATTCTTCCACTACTAAGCAATCAGGGCTCATCCACACCCTAGAGGTTATTGCTGTTATGGAATTGACTCATGGCTGACCCTCCAGAGGGTTTTGAGAAACTCTAAATTAAATTGCCTGAGAGATTTCCTATCTTCTTCCTGAGGGTCAGCTGGTGGATTTGAATCGCTTGCCTTTGGGTTGGCAGCAGAGCTTCTTAACCACTAAACCACTAGAGCTCCCCTGGAGGAGAAAGGGGTAGGGGTGAGGATGTGCTTAGTCCAGGATCTGCCATGACAAAGCTTTAACGTTGTCTTTCAAACCTTCTTGTCCTGAGAGGTTTTAAATTTCTCTGCTCTCATAAAAACTCATTTCTCACCTCACCTCCATGTCAGTCAGTTTCTCTGTCATTTAGACATTCCAGTTAAAAGTGGATTGCATTTTGGATTTAAGAGACAAAGAAAGTAAAGTTTTCTTCAGTAAGTTTTTGGTGTTTTGTGTGTGTGTGTGTGTGCGTGCGTGTGTCTGTGTGCGTGTACCGTCAAATCAGATCTGACTGGTACAGGAGAAGATTGCCCCTCCTTCTCCGGCAGAGCATCTGGTGGATTCGAACCGTTCGCCTCTGGGATTGTAGTTGCAGTTCCTTGCCACTAGGCCACCAGAGCTCCCCCAGTAAGTTTTTTTTTTTTTTAAATTAATTATACTGCTTTGCCTAGTGGTAAGGAGTCATACTGACAAGCCAAAGACAGACAGTTCAAAGTCACTGGCCATTCAGTGGGAGAAAGATAGCCAATCTCCTCCCATGTACTTTACTGCCTTTGAAAACCTACTGGAGGGTCAGCTATAATTTGGTTTCAACTGGACAGCATACAACAACACAGCAAATGATCTCCCCCCCCCATTTTGTCCCTCCCCTTGTTGTGTACCATCAAATCAGATCCAACTGGCACAGGAGGAAGTTGTCCCTCCTTTTCCATTGGAGGATCTGGTGGATTTGAACTTTGGCCCTTTGGGATTACAGTGCAACTTCTTGCCACTAGGCCAACAGAGCTTTCTAGCAAATGATCTTAGATAATTATTTCATTGATGTGATTTTGAGTATTGTTGTTGTTGATTGCTGTCAAGTCGAGCACAACTCATAGCGGCTCTATGAACAAAAGACCTAATGCCTTTCTGTAGCTATCTTCATTTGTCCAAGTTCATAGAGTTTCCATAGGCATGTGGTTTAAGAAGTGAATGCCACTCCTGCTTCCCGACCTGTTTTACAACTGGGAGCTCTGTTCCATCAAACATTGTCCACATTGGGAAACCATTATGACATTTGATACCCCAATGACACAAGGTTCAGCATCACAGCAAACCCAGATAACCTCAGTACAGCAGATTGACAATGAATAATGTACAAAGTAGAAGAATATTCCTCCAAAATATAACAACACTAGTCTCACTTAGCAGTGGTTAAGTGCCATCAAGTCGAATATGACTCATAGTGACCCTGTGAACAAAAGATCTGAACTTTATTTAATACTTAACATAATTTCTTTATGTTTATAGAGTTTGTAGTTTCCAGAGGCATCTGGTTTAGGAAATAGATGCCACTCCTGCTTCCAAACCTGAATCAATGTGGAAGCTCTTCCAAACACTGTCCATGATGGGCAATCATTATGGTATTTGACACTATAGAACAGTGTTCAGCATCACAGAAACTCCAAGTTATTCAGTACAAATAGACAAATGGCTGTTTTACCACTTAAAGAATGTGGAACCACTGCACCAGGCCAGCTGCAGACTTAACCAGTTACTATGAAATTTTAAAGACACACCCATCAAATGCTGTTGACTGTGATAGAACCACACCCTTGGATCCTTGCTGGCTGAAATGGGCACTTCTAAAGTAATTAATATTCCCTATAGAAAAGAAAGAATAAAGAGAAAAGCAAATGAACAGTTGGCCAGACTTTCTTCCAGCCCCTTTTTACAAATAACTGCAAACACATGTGTATTTATAAAATTCTGACTTTTGCATATTTTCACTTCACTTTATAAATGAGTATTTCTCTTTATCATTGAAATGGGGAATTTCCTTTCTACGAAGGTGGAGCCAAAAGCGAAGAAGGAAGTCCCTGACCTTCCCAAAAATGAAGCCAAAGCAAAGGTATTAAAGGCCAAGAAGGCAGCCCCGAAGGGCATCCACAGCCACAAAAAAGGGAGAAGATTCACCATGTCATCAAGATAGACACTGAGACTCTGAAGGCAGCCCAGAGACCCCCAGAAGAGCACCCCCAGGAGAAACAAGCTTTACCACTATGCCCTTGTCAAGTTTCTCCTGACCACCGAGTCAGCCATGAAGAAGACAGAAGATGACACACTAGTGTTCAATGTGGATGTCAAAGCCCACAAGAACCAGAACAAACAAGCTGAGAAGAAGCTCTGTGACATTGATGTAGCCAAAGTCAACCTTTTGATTAGGCCTGATGAAGGGAAGGCCTATTTTTTATTTACTCCTGACTATGATGCTTTGGATGTTGCCAACTGGGATCATTTAAACTGAGTCCAGCTGCCTAATTCTAATTTTTTTTCTAAAAAAAAAAAACAACCAAGAAATGGGGAAATGGAGACCCAGTTTCTGAGACATGCCTTTTGATGAGTTGATGCTGTTTTAAACAGTGTTGTTTCTCATGGGTGGAGCCGAAGGAAGATTAGCAAAGCAGAATGTAGTTCCAGAAGGCTAGACGCTCTCTCAGGTTAATAGCTCCGAGAAACTCTAGAACCCCTCCTTTTATTAGCATTCAGAAACAAAGAAATAATTCATAGAGAAATGAAAGTTTACGGATTACTTCATAGGGCCAGTGTGGACCAAGTACACAGATAGATAAAAGACATACATTCAAGCAAGACTTCTTTGTGTTCATAAACTGTGCTTTCTTATATTTGCAAAAACTTTATCAAGAATGGGAACATTTGCTTCTATTCTCAAAGAAATAAATGTCTCAAGATGTTTAAGAACTAAAAAAAAAAGATGTTTAAGAACTGTTTGCAGTCCTCTTTCTCAGAGTGCCTCATGAGAGCTGCTTGCAATTTTCCTTCTGAAGACACCTCTATGTGCAAGACACACAGCCACCTCCCGAGGACACAGCCCCTTATGTTAAGCATTTATTTGAACAGAAAAATTTATGCAGCCCACTTAATATCTCTCACACCCCAAGTTCCCTCTCACCATCTCTCCATACCAGGATGCAAAGGTCTGGGTACTGATGCATGAATAAAAGGAATATTTGCAATCGTTCCCACTTCTTAGTCTCTTTCTCTCTCTGTGGTATATGTGTGTTGAATGTCTCTACTAAAGCTAAGGAAGGAGTGTTGGGGAAAAAAGAGCACCAAATCTCAGTTGGAGACCAAATTGTGAACATTTTCCTGGAACCCACTGAAAAGCCAATAGAGATGATGAGACAGCAACTGCCAAGAGCAGAGGCGCTCTCTGGTGGGGAGCATCCAAAGGATGGACGCATTTCTGACACTCTGCATTCCCATATGTCAAAGGTAAGTATGGGCAGACAGGAGCTGTTCTAGAACTCCCTCTCTGACCAGACTTCATTATTATTACTCTTCCAGCAGTCTTTGCTGAGGGCCACTGTGAGCCAGGCAGGGTTTCAGGCATGGTGGCTGTGGTGAACAAAACAGCCAAGGCCCCTGCTCTCAGGCAGCTTGTGTTGGATGTAGAAGTAGGTAGCATAGAAAAATAGTGATCAAGTTAACAAAATACATAAAAATACATAAACAAAATACATAAAACAATCTCAGAGAGTGACGTGTGCAAAGAAGAAAATTAAAATGGGCTGTATAGCCTTAGAGGCAGGGCCTGAGTGAGAGAGAGGAGGAGGGAGGCAGTGCTACTTCTCAGCAGAAGTCAGAGGTAGCTTCTGTGGTAAGATGATGTTTGTCTTGAGACTTGGATGATAAGAGATATAACTCATTCAACAAATAGATCTCGGTGGCCTCTTGTGTGCCAGACACTGTCCCAGGACCTAGACACTTCCTTGACCACTGCAAACCCAGCCCTCAGCAAGATTACACTCTACTGTGGAATCCAATAGAAAACATGATAAAATGTCTGATGCTTAAGTGCTAGGAAGAAAGAAAAGACAGAGTAAATGCCTAGCTAGATCTTAAGTAGGATACCAGGAAAAACCTTTCTAATGAGGAGTTATGAGTGAGTAAGCAGGGGTTGGCCAAGAAGAAAGGAAAGAAGTTCTGGGCTGGAGGAAGCACAAATGTAAAGACCCTGTGACAGAAGCTACATCCAAGCAACAGGAGCCTCAGGGAGGTCTTGTGAATGGAGGACTATGAGCACAGAAGGAATGAGGGGAGAGGAGCTGGGAGAACTGCCCAAGGGCTGGGACTTACAGGGCTCAAACCCATAGCAAACATTTTGGATTTTAATTTAATGACGAAGAGGTGCATCAGATGGATTTTGAGCCAGGGGAGTGGAGTGATCAGATGTATCTTTTGAAAGGATCATCATTTTGCTGCTGGGTGAAGAACAGAAGGTAGGTAGAGACCAGAGTGAAAGGACAGGGGCCTGTCGGGGTTGAGACTGCGTCAGGTCCACGAGAGAGAATAAATAGTAGCTTGAGCCTGGGTTGGATTGTACTGATGAAAGTAAGAGTTGTATAGATGGAGGTATGAGAAGTAGGAGGATTCGAGGAACTTATTGAAGAGATATTACTTCAGAGTAAATAGCATGTGCAGAGACCTTGAAGTAAAATAAAAAAGAAAAAAATTTCTTTTATTGTACCTCCTATTTGTCTCTGTTCTTTTTGTCCTTATCTGGGATGTGAAGCTGAACATTGTGAGAATGGTTACCCATGGTGGACAGTGTTTGGTGGAGCTCCCCGATTAAAACAAGCTTGGAAGCAGGAGTGGCATCCACTTCCATAATAGCTTGCCTCTGGAAACCCTGTGAACCTGGAGAAAGGACGAAAGTTATACAAGGGTCCAGGACTTTCGTTCATAGGATCACTATGAGTCACCTACGACTTGACGGCACTTAACAACAACAACCTATAGAACTTTTTAAGATGAGAATTTATAGGCCCACCAACATTTAAGTATTTAGGTAGGTGTATGGTTGAGGAAAGTGAAAAGAAGGGTCTAAAGAGAAAAAAAAAGTAGTAGAAAAATGTTTATGTCTCAAAAAGACTCACAGATATTTTTTTTTTTTAGAACAATGACAGCAAATCTCCCAAAGAGCACCCCATCACACTCACTAGAGCCATGTAAAAAAGAAAAGAAAGAAAGCAAGCTAAGAAAGTAGTCACTGTAGAATCCAGACTTCCAATCTGGGGAGTTTGTGAAATTGCTTATGCCCAGGGCCTTGCAAACAATTACATAAGTCTTCCTGGGAATGAGACATGGGCTTTGGCACTAATTTTCAACTCTTTGTCGAGTCTCATATGTAGACAAGGCTGTAAAACCTCGGGGCTGTCTTATGTTACATCCTCTGCAAAGATTTGCTAAACATTTTCCCTTAAGGGAAGGCGTCTAATCTGGAGGAGTTTTCCTGAAGAGAAGAAGGTAGGCCTGGGTCTCGGACAGATTGTATCTGTTCTTTTTCTTTGTTTTTTAAATTACAGATCTTTCTTGCTGTAACAGCTGACCTGCGCTGTGACCTGTTCTCCAAAGAGCTGAGAGAATACATAGGGGTTTCCTGCCCCAGTATAAAATATGTGGAGGGCTGCAGTGGGATTGTGAGGGTGCAGGGAGACTTCAGAGATATTGAAAAAATATATAAATTCTTGAGCAACCAACTTCTGGGAAGCGAGCTCTACACGTCCTCCCCTCTGACAGTACAGGCCCCACTCACTCCACAGGACTGGGATAGCTGTGTTTCTCCCAAGTCTCAAGCCAGGAAAGAAGGACAAAACAACAGCATTGAAGTTCCCTTCCCTATCCTCGAATACTTCAAAAATGCTTATCCTGACAGAATTAATTTCATGAAGAGAAAATTCGGTGTAAGCGTCAACATTCTGGCAGCTTCTCCAAATATGGCCCGATTAGACTTCACTGGCAGTCAGCCAGACCAGGTTGAAGCAGCTCTTGCGCATTTTGTCTCTGACTTCCAGAAGAACACAGAATCTCTGAAGCAGGAGAGTGTCTCTCTAGCAGACTGTAAGCAGGCAAGTGAAATAAAAGAAAAATTAAGCTGTGATTTTAAAAGACTCTTTATAACGGAGAAAGGAAAAGAACTGACTCTTCTTGGGCTCCCAGAAGATCTTTTGGCAGCCAGACGTTTCCTTGCTTCTCAAACTTCTGAAATTCCTGTGAAGACATCGGTGAAAATACTGGCTCCCAAAGGCATGAAGAACGGAATAGAAGTCGACACTGCTCACTATAAGCTTTTAGAAGCGGAATTGCTGGAGAAGATAACAGAGATAGAGGAAAAGTACAACACTTGCATTAGGGTTTTTGAAAAGACTAAAAATGCTCAGAAAACCAGCATTTTGTTTGTACCCAAGGACAAGGAGGTGGATCTGTCTGTACATGCCTCTGCAAGTTTTACTGATGCCTATCAACGTGCCTCCTGTCAGCTGATGAAAATGGGCCTTTCACTACAAGCGATGGGCAAGGACAGAAAGCACTTACATGGGACTAAGTTTGCTGATGACTTTAATAGAAAGCATCCAGATATACACTTGACGGTAAACCAAGAGTCAGTGAGTCTGACTGGCTTGCTAAATCACCTCGTAAAAGCAAAACAATATGTCCTAGAGAGAGGGGGAGTGCCGTCTGCTGGAGAGAAATGGAATGAGGGTCTCGATGTCCATGAGACGCCGATGGACATTGATAGCAATGGTTCAGAACCAGCTTCACCTCCATCCAAGAGCTCTGTCAGTTCTTGCTTATCCAGGGTAGACGAGAAGGAAAAGGATTGTGCCATCTGTATGGAGACTATTACCAATAAACAAGTGCTACCAAACTGCAAGCATGAATTCTGTGCCCCTTGTATCAGCAAAGCCATGTCATATAAGCCAGTCTGTCCTTTGTGCCAGAGCTGCTATGGTGTCCAGAGAGGCAATCAGCCAGATGGAACCATGGATATCGTTTATGACAAGTCACATCTTCCGGGTTATGAATCATATGGCACCATTGTGATTTATTATAATATGAATAAAGGCATACAAACAGTAAGTATATCTGAATTCCATTGGGTTTCTATCCCCTGTTATGATTGGGTACTCTGGTGGCCTAGTGGCGAGAAACTGCAGTGAGACTATCAGCTGCTCTGCAAGAAGATGCATAGTCTCCTCCCGTGCGGTTTACTGCCTCTGAAAACTCACCAGAGGGTCAGTTCTGACTCTGCAGTACACAACAGCAAAAGAGAGTGTCTTATTGCCTGTTTAAATACATGCAAATGACTTGAAATAGTATAAGAGTTATGATTGCTCACAACACAGGCATCTTCTTTTGCCTATTACTTAAGGTAGAGAAAAAAGAAATCACTCACTCATTGCCATCGAGTTGGAACTGACTCAGACCTGACCCTCCAGTGGGTTTTCAGAGGCTGTAAATAATATGGGAAGATATTGCCTATCTTTTTCTCTTGGAGCAAGTGGTGGATTTGAACTTCCCACCTTTGGCTTGGCAGTGCAACTCCTTTACCCACAAGGCCTGCAGAGATCTCTAGAAAGATGAATGGAAGTCAGGAAGGAAGTCAGCACAGAGGGTAGATAGAATATCTAGCATAAAAATCTGGCAAAAGAAGGAATATAAATTATTAGGGATAAAAGCAAACCTTTGGTTCTTTTCCCCATGTTTTTGGTCTCCAAATGACATATCTAGACATAACCTGTTTTCATGTGACATTTTATTATCGTCACACAGGAAGATCACCCAAACCCAGGAAGGCCATATGATGGAATCAGACGTACTGCATACTTGCCTGATAATCAGGAAGGAAGAGAAATTCTGAGACTACTTCGTAAGGCCTTTGACCAAAAACTAATCTTCACAGTGGGGGATTCTCGTGTATCTGGAGCCTCAGGTGTCATTACGTGGAATGATATCCACCACAAAACTAACAGATTTGGTGGACCAGAAAGGTGAGAACATCCAGAAATCCAGTTCCTTAGAGTAATTATGTGGTGTGGTGGTTAAAGCACTCAGCCGCTAACCAAAAGGCCAGCATTTGAATCCACTAACAATTCCCAGGGAGAGAAATACTGCTTCCATAATTGTTGTTGTTTGTTATGTGCAATCGAGTCGTTTGCGACTCATAGCGACCCTTTGTACAACAGCCCTAAACCCTGGTCTATCCTGTGCCAATTGCGCTGCCTCTGACACACCCATCCCCATTACCCCAGTCACTGAATCAATCCATCTCATAGAGGGTCTTCCCCTCTTGCGCCGTCCCTCCACCCTCCCAAGCATGATATCCCTCTCCAAGGACCTGTTCCTCCTTGCAGCATGCCCAAAGTATGTCAGACGAAGCCCCAGAATCCTTGCCTCCAAGGAGTAGCTTCGTTTAACCCTCTCCAGGATGAATCTGTTTGTTTTCTTGGCAGTCCATGGTACATTCAACATTCTTCTCCAGCACCACAGCTCAAAGACATCAATTCTCCTTCTGTCCTCCCTAGTCATTGTCCAACTCTCTGATGCATAACAAGTGATTGCAAAGACCTTGTCCTGTATCAGGCACACCTTAGTCTCCAGAGAGACACCGTTGCTCTATTACCATCTGAAAACCTTCTGGGGCAGGTCTTCTCTTCTCTGTAAGGTGCCTAAGAGGTAGAATTAACTCAATGGCCATGGATTTAGATCCCAAGAACTTTTTTAGCTTCTTTTTAAAGATCATTTGTTGTAACTTCACTCCCTCTGTTTCTTTACTGAGAACCTAATCTCACTTGGCTAATCATACTAAAATGGAGGGGGGACTCCACCCCAAAACAAACCTGGGGAGCTCTGTTGACTGTGCGGAGTTGCACTGCTAACCCAGAGGTTTCTCTGGCTATTTAGATCCACCAGGGACTCAGAGGGGCAACGATAGGCAGTCTCTTCCCATGTGATTTATGGTTCCTTAACATCCCTCCTTAACTGGAGGGTCAACTATAAACTCACTTGGCTAATCATACTCTAAGAAAGTCTTAGCTTTAAGACTTTAGTGGGATTTGTGTTATAATCCTATCAGTTGGGTTTTTTTATATTAGTTGATTTTACGAAATGCAGAAATACTTCAGAATACAAATAGAAATACAGCCTGTTGTTGCTGTTGAGTCCATTTCAAACTATGGTTTGAAATAGCGACTTTAGGAAGGAATAACAGCCCAATCTGCTGCCGTGTCCAATACCATCTTCACAGCCACTGCTTATTATGTTCAAGCCAGCTCAAGCCTGTCACTACAACCACTGTGTCAGATGATCTCACTGAGAATTGTATTCTTTTTCACTGACCCTCCTGGCAAAAAAGAGGGACTGGTCTTTACAGATAACATGCTCTGAGTATATGAGATAAAAATCTCGCCATCTAATCGTAATGGCGGGTACGGGTTTAGTGGCCAGAGAGGTTCTGCTGGATGCACTGCTCTATTTTGATCAAGGTTATGAAGCGCCCAGCGTTCGCAAAGCGGCTGTGGCACTGGTGGAGGAGGAAACTCGCAGATACCGACCTGCAAAGAACTACCTGAGCTACCTGACAGCCCCAGATTATTCCGCTTTTGAAACCGACATAATGAGAAATGAGTTTGAAAGCCTGGCTGCTCGACAACCAATTGAGTTGCTCAGTATGAAACGGTATGAGCTTCCAGACCCTTCCTCAGGTCAGAAAAAGGATATTACTGCATGGCAAGAAGGTGTAAATAGTTCTATGGCCCAATTAGAACATCAAGCAGTTTGAGTTGAAAATCTAGAACTAATGTCACAGTCTGGATGAGATGCCTAGAAAGTATAGAATGCAAATTTGGTTCACAGGATTGAACATACTAAAAAAGAGCTCCAGAAATTAAAGAAACATATACAAGATTTAAACTGTCATGGAAAGAACATGTAACTAACAGCTGGGTCCAAATTGAGAGAAATGGAGTCAACCTGGGTATCCCTGGTTAGTAAGAATTATGAGATTGAATGGAGTATTGTACAACTAGAAAATGAAATCTATCAAACAAAGCAGCAGCATGGAGAAGCAAACAAAGAAAATACCTGGCAAGACTTTTGAAAAGAAAGATGAACTTTCACAGACTATCAGTCATCTGAGTTGTTCTGAACTATGAGAGACCAACATTTTATGGAAACCATTGGTTTAATGTTTAGAAACCATAGAATGTGAAACTTTTGTATTATTTCTGTGTGTACATAATAGCAAAATGAAATCTTTCTGCTTGGTAGTATTTTTTTTCTATAATTATATTTTATTAATTTTCATAAACATTTACAGAGATTTTGGGCTTCCACTCATTCATTGTTGCACTATTCTCTCTACCCTCCTCCCAGTTTGTTCTTGTCCAAATGCCACAGTGCTTGTCAAAGCCAGTTCTGATTAATCTTCTTTGTCAGTGTGTCCTTTGCCATTCCCTATCACTCCTCCCTGAGAGAGACTTCACCTGAGTCATAAGGAAAAGGGGACGGCGTATTCTCTTAGCTACTTCCTGCTGAAAAGGGACGCTGTGGGTTTCAGGGTGAAGATCTTCTCTCACTACTCTAAAGGGCCCCTTTGGCAGTAGGAAACACATAGACTATTATGGAGATTGATTTTGGAATTCAGATGCACTCTTATTGATTGTGTTTGGCTGTACATGCTTGGTAGTATTTTTGTAGCTTAAAAAGAAACAATCTTAAGGCATTCAAGATAAGTATGTACTTATATGGGTCTTATTTTGCATCCAAGAGTTCTTTATGGAAAAATTCCACATGTACAAGACTTTGGGAGGTTTTTGCTTATACCTTTGTCTAATAAGAAGTAATGCTAAATAAATTTTTTGTTAATCAGACAAGGAAAAAAAAATCTCGCCATCTTAGCTTCTAAGAAGCATTTTGACTGTACTTCATACAAAAACAGATTTGTTTGTTCTTTAACACCACAATTAAATTGCCATTTTTTCATCCTTCCTAATTCATTGTCTGTATTTCACATGCCTAGAGAGACAATGCCTTGGCTTGAGTTAGGTGTACCTTAGTCCTTACTGTGACAGCTTTGCTTTTTTTAACCCTTTAAGGAGGTCTCTTGCAGCACATTTGCCCAATGCAATAAGTGGATTGATTTCTTGATCACTTCTTCCATGGACATTGTCTGCAGATCCAAGTAAAATGAAATTCTTAATAATGTTTATTTTTTCTCTATCATCATGTTGCTTATTGGTCCAGTTGAGAGGATTTTTGTTTCCTTTACATCGAAGTGTAATCCATATTGAAGGTTATCGCCTTTTCTTTTTATCAGTAAGTGCTCACATTCAGTAAATAGATCTCAGGTCGTCTGCCTCCAATCCTGATTCTACCTGATAACCTTTGCAGTTCCACAAATTTGAAAAGTATGCTGTTGAATTCAGTTCTTTTCATAATCTTGAAAATCTTTTTAAATTCTTTAGTTTCTGTCAAGTTGGCTGAGTCATGACAGTTTTATGATCACAGAAGGAAAAGTTGTCCATAAAATAGAACACATTTTATGTAACTGTAGGAGAATCCCTGCTTATCATGTTCTGAAAATACAGTGAAAACCTTGGAAGTTAGATGCTGAGCAGACAGTGAGGCTCCCTCACTTGCTGTGTGGCTCAATCTGCACATTTATAGTCATTCTAAGTCATTTGCCTTCAGAATTGCTTGTGAATGGTTACTGTTGTATGCTACCACGTCGGAACCGACCCATAGCTAGATTTTCAGAAGCAGTAAATCGCATGGGAGGGGATTGCCCATCCTTAGTCTGCAGAGCAGCTGGTAGCTTTGAACCATGTGCCTTTGGGATTGTAGCACAGCTTCTTACCATTAGGCAACCAGAGCTCCCTAAATGTTAATTCCTCACGTGAGCAGCTTCTACTATGCAGACTCTCAAGGACAATTTATGATGAAGCTAAACAGATTTTCCTTTTACAGATATGGCTACCCTGATCCTCATTACCTGAAACGTGTCAGAGAAGAGCTGAAAGCCAAAGGAATCGAGTAAAGAAACTACAGAAGTATTCTTGTATTCACCTTTCAAAAAGATTTGAAGAGGCGGAATGCATGCCAATTTGAAACATTCAGTACAACCATTTTTTAAAAAACTTGACCTCGAGAAATGGTTTGTGTACTTGTAAGAGCCTCCTAGTCTGTCATTTGGAGAAAATTACATTTTATGGAGGACAGAAGCCCCAATGGTGTGTGTGTTTGTGCCACTGAGATGTCATGCCTTATTCTTGTGTCATCTGAGGGAATGGGAGGTTAGAGGCCCATTTCTATGGTTCTGAGGTTATTGTCTCTGACTTCTTCATTTAGACTTCTAGCTATCACTTGCCTTACTTTCTTTGCCATTTTAGAGTGGCCCTTTATTCTCTGTTTTCTCTTTAATTTCTACCAGTGAAAGTGAAGTCCTGATGTGAAATGATTGAAAAACCCAAGGCTTTGGTTAATTAAGCAACTCAAGTCTTTTTCCTTCTTCATGACCAAAGTAGCGAGAGAAGTTATGGTTGAACAGCCTTTTAGTAATAAATAGAATGTTATTGTTATAACATCAAGTCAGAACCAACCCATAGCTGACCCTCCAGTTAGTTTTCTGAGGCAGTTAATCACACGGGAGAGATTGTCCACCCTTGTCCCATGGAGCATCTAGTGGATTTGAAGCTTGTGCCCTCAGGATTATAGTGCAGCATCTTGCCACTAGGCCACCAGAGCTCCATAAATAAAATATGCTATTTTTAATGACACAGAGCCTGGCATAAAATTGGTGAGTTAGTTTTTCTGGCAGACTCAGTTTGCTGGTAGATCAGTATTTAGTTAGGTATCATCGGATCAACTATGACTGTGTCCTTATGAACGATGGATTTGAACTCTGCCCTGTTCTCTGCCATTCTCATGCTTGAGTCCATCGTTAACAGTGACTGTGTCAATCCATTTTGTTGAGGGTCTTCTTCTCTTTCACTGATGCTCCACCTTTCCAAGCACGATGTCTTTTTTCCAAAGAGAGATCACTCCTGACAACATGCCCAACGTATGTGAGTGGGATGAAATTTCATCATCTTTGCCTTTTAGGAGTACTCTGGTTTCTGGAGTCCTGACTTGGGAAACAGATTCTTATTCAGGAACACTTGGGATCTAAACTTTGACTGAGCCTGAACTTACTCCCTCCTAATCCCATTAACTTGCCATGTGGGGTCCACCTGCCCTGCAATGTCTTAACACTTTTCCTTCTGAATGTTAGATATGTTAGTATGTACCCTGCCTCCTGTTTTAACCACTAACTTACTTTAGTTCCCCTAGCCATCATCTTCATAGAAACTGCAGTCCCCACTATACTATTTCATCCCTTTTCTGAGGTTCACCAAGTTACATTTTCTTATTAAATCTTTCTTCCTGATACTCTTTCTGGGCAGAAAAAGCACCAGGATAAGCATGCTAGAGAAAATCTGACAGGTTACATTTTACTTTTAACTGGTTCTCCAGTCAAGAAGAGGGTTACAGAGTCATGTGCTAGCCCTGCCTGGTCCTTCCATGTCTCCCTTTGCAAAATATTTTCCTCTGTAAATAAACCTCTGACTTTGCTTGCATGGGGTGGGGGCCGGGGAAAAGAGAGTCACAGTAACAAATGATTTCCTTTTTTTGATGTCTGTCCTCCAGAAATGATGAACAAAGAATCTTGTTCTTTTCTTAGAGATAACACATCCTCACACACATAAATGTTTTGATTTTCTAGATGAAATATTAATTGCTAATACTGAACACTGATTCTAGCCCCTTTACAAGAACTTTACATTTGTGTGATTTACCCAAGTGGTATTCCCATATTATAAATGAGGAAGTACAGGCACAGAGCAGTAACTTAAAAAGGGGGCATAGTTGATAAGATGAGGTACTGGGATGGGAACCATATTCTTTAGATCCAAGCCTTCTGTACCTCAAAGCTATACTTTCACAGCTGCACTTGTTTGAGGAGCAGCCCCATTTGCTGTTACTGTGAATTGTTGCTATTGAGTTGACTACAACTTCTAGAAATCCCTTGAGCAGAACCTTGCCCTATCCTGCACTATCATGATTTCCACCATACTCAAGCCCATTGTTGAGGGAGCTCTCTGGTAGCCTAGAGGTAAGAAGCTGTACTGCAATCCCAAAGGCACATGGTTCACATCCACCTGCTGCTCTGCTGAGGAGGATCAGCAGTCTTCTCCAGTGCAATTTACTGCCTCTGAAAACCTGCTGGAAGGTTAGCTATGAGTCAGTTCTGAGTGGATGGCAAACAACAAGAAACAGCCCATTTCACTGTGTTCATCCATCTCTTTGAGGGCTTCCTCTGTTTCTCTGACCCTCTGCCTTTCCCAGCATGATGATGTCTTTTTCCAAGGACTGATCTCTCCTCATTCTATGCCCAAAGTATGTGAGATGAAGTTTTACCTTCTTTGTCTCAAAGGAGCATCCAGGTTTATTTGTTCTTTTGGCAGTCCCAATACTCCCAAAATTACGAAAGTAATTTAGTAGTTAAAACAGGAGACAGGGTACATACCAACAATATTCCCAAAGTGCAAAAGCATTCATTCTTCTGTCATCTTTAATCACTGTCCACCTTTAACCTGAGTAAGAAGCAATTGAAAATATTGTGTCTTGTTTCTGGAGCACTTTACTCTCTCATCTTTGCTCTTTTGCATTTTATAGAGGTCCTTGTCAGCAGATTTCCCTAATGTAATATACCTTTAGATTTCTTGATTACTGCTATCATGGGTGTTGATTGCATGTTCAGGTAAAATAAAATAATTTACAATTTCCATTTTAAGTTGTTGACAGTGTCAATCTTTTCTTCCTCTATCATGATGTTGCCTGTTGGTCCAGTATTGAGAATTTTCATTCTGGAGTCCTCTCAAAAATGGATTCATGTACAGTGCTCAATGCAGATTTCCTCCAAGGCAGTCCTGTTTGATGTACTGAAAACCCAGAATGTTCTTCTTTGTCCAGAAACTGGAGGAAGATTAAAATGAACAATATCTCTTTTTTAAAATTTTTTTAAAAAATGATTTTAATGAACATTTACAGAGAATTTTGCATGTAACATACTAAATGCAATTATGAGTAATGTTTTTGTTATGTGCCCTGGAGTTTGAACCAACTCTCAGCTGACCATTCAGTGGATTTGCAGAGGCAGCAAACTGCACAGAAGGAGACTGTTCATTATTCTCCCATGGAGAGCTGTCTGCTTAGCTCAGTTGGTTAGAGTGTAGTGCTAATTCTACCACGAAACAGCTAGTATATTTGAACCTTGTGCCTTTGAGTTGCCAGCACAGTTCCTTATCACTAGGCTATCAGAGCTCTGGATTATGATTAACAAGATGCCTCTGGAAACTCTAATGAACTTTGATAAATGATGATAGTTGTAGAAAGGCTTCAGGCCTTTTGTTCATAGGTTCTTTATGAGTCGTGCTCAACTCGACAGCAATCACCACCAGCAGGGATCTTTTAGCTAGGGAACACTGGTGACCTAGTGAGTAAAGGGTTGTGCTGTCAATCCAACTCAAAGGCAAGTGGCTTGGCTCTAACAACTGCTCTGTGGGAAAATGATAAACAGTCTCCTCCTGTGGAAGTTACTACTTCTGAAAATTCACTGAAGGGTCATTTATGACTCGATGTTAATGACAGTAAATGAAAATTAATGATCTTTTGGCTTAATTTACTTTAAAAGTGCAAACCTTTGACTCCTATTTTGGGGTCTGTGATTATAATATGTGTGCTAATGCATGAATGGTTAGAAGCACGTAGGTCATCACTTTTGCTCTTTGGATGGTGGAATCACCTGCATCTACTTAAAATAAAGTGAAATCACTATACAGAACACATTGTCTGTTTTCTCTCCTCTCTCCATTTTTCCACTTTAGGTTGACATTCTGAGTGTTTCTTAAAACAGGTTCAAGTATGTCTTCCTCCCATAGGGAAAAAAAAATAGCATTACGTTTCCTTAGACGTATCTTTAGAACTCTTTAGAACGTGTATTTCCTTTCTTTATAATTTGCACAATTTCCTTTTTTCTTGATAGATTTGAGCCCCTTAAAATGCAGAGCATGAAGAAAGGATTAAGACGTGACTAGTCTGTTTGGGAGATGTAAGCCCGGGGTGGTGACAGGACAGAGAGGGAGAGAGCTGAAGTAAGATCCCTGCCCTAGGGTGCTCTGGCCTGTCACCCTGGTACTGCTTGACAAGGAGCAGTCAAAAACAGCAGCAGGCCACTCCACAGCTTTATTTGTTCAGCATTATGATCTGCAAAGGAACCCAGAAATTATCTCATGTAAGCTCTTTGGGTTTTAGATGAGGAAATAAAATTTTATTTGTTGGAAAGACAACAGGCAATGTAAACCTGCATTGCATTATTGAACACAGAAAGTAACCTTCAAGCATCGGTAGCTCACTCTATCATGCACTTACTCATTGTCCTGACTGTCACCACAACCTCACTGTCCATGGTTGTCTCACCAGAGCTACTGAAATACCTCTATACTCTTCCCCTTCATCCTTCCACTTAAAACTACTTTTTAAAAAAGAACTGTGACCTCTTCTCTGATGACAAAGTTTCATGACTCCCTAATGCCTTGAACTATGCTTCTCATACTTGACCTTACTCCACAACCTCCTCACCTCAGTGCTCAGGAAAGTCCCATTCACCTAAGAGGGCCTGATCTGGTGGATGTGAGGTTGGGCCAAGAGTCTGCATTTCTGACAAGTTTCCAGATGAGATTGACGTGGCTGGTCTGGAGACCAAGTTGTGAGAAGCACTGGCTTAGAAAATAAAGTGAAAACTCCACACACTGACTCTAAAGTAGACTATAAAGTCTACATTTCTTATGTATCTTTCTCTCTACCAGTCGCTGAGCAACCACCCTGTGTTTCCAAAGCTCAGTCTATATTCTCGCTCTGCGTTTTCTCTCTCTGGGATGTCCCTCCACCTCCTTCCTCTCCTCAGACATCACTTGCTCATCTTCAAGGGGCTTGCTG